CATAAAATACTTGTCATAACTTTGAACTGAACTGGAAAATACTGGTATTTCCTTTGAACGCTTTTAATTAAATATTTCACACTCGAAAACAGATCTGCTTAAATGCGAGTTGTTTAAATAACAGTTCATTTTTCTTCAATTTGCAAAGCAAAATAATGTTATGTTTAGTACTTGAAATACTTCTTAATTTGTTTGTATTATATTACGATAGAGAACATTTTCCGGCTGAATTATAGACGCTTAATTACACATTGTGTAATTCATTAGTTTAGTTAACGTTTCTTAATCAAGGTGCCACTGTATCATCTGGTACAAAGTTCTGGCAGTTGCATTATTTATACTAATACACCGGCTCTTATTACAAAATTTGGTGGCAAGTATAACAAGTACTTTGTATAACTGTTGGTATTTTACAACAATACGTGACTATTTTAGGCCAGTTTCATATAGTGTTGCATTGCATAGTAATATTGCAATTCGAGACTATACATTTAATGCTCTAAAGGTCTGGTTCTGTGAGAGAATTTTCTACCGGTTTGGCGAAAATAACATGTAATAGTAATGTGTTAGACAAATTGAGATATATTATTCTTGATTAAAAAAATATATAAAATCTTGGTTGTAATGACCAAGATGTTAGATATAGAATCGTTAGCAGGATAGTCATTATCATCAGAAACTGGAGTTAATCAGAAGTGGGGAACTAGATTAGAAATCGCTGGCATCCCTAGCAGCAATTGGGGTCTGCTTCTTCTATGTCCAGTCAGTGCACCTCGAGTGTATTCATACAAATAGTCGTGTGCTTTTATATTACTTTTCGTATTTTATATGTATGTATGTACTTGGCGCGGCAGCCCTGAACGGACTCAGGCCTATCGGCAACGTCCCTGCCTCGCGGTCATAGGTTAAGAGGGTACGTGTGGTTAGCACGTAGATATCCCCAAGCCGTATTTTGGTCTTCTCAACCTAAGAAGTGAATTTTCGCATTGTCACGCAGCACTATACACTGAGACATTGCAAGGAAAACGCACACTACAATCTTGCCTCACCAGGAAACGAACTAAGCCGCTTAGTGGAAAGCGAGCAGGCTAATCAACAGCTAGCCACGAGGACTTTTCGTATTTTGTACTAGGTTATATTCACGATCGTTTTTAAACAATTTTCTATCTGCGCATCAAACCCAAGGCAAATAAACTGTTTATCCATTTATTTGCATTTATGCATCTGCATTTTTTAAATAATACATTATGAAACTGTCGAGAAACACAAATGAATGGTTGCGTGATTATTATAGCCGACTGTAAATTTTGCCGTTACCTATTTACCATTAATCGCTATTTATATTTCAATAAAGGTTAGATGTTGATAGCTATCATATTCCATGAATTCTATGTTAATTTAAACAGTATTCAAAAACACAAATAATATCATACAAATATAATGAATACGTATAGAAAATAGTGATTTCACAACCGCACATACATTCTCTCATTATTGGAAACAACATCACATTAAAAAGTCCAAATCAATTTCAACCAAGAGCCTGCGGAGCGTATTTGCAATACATCGAAAGCGGGGAACAGCAGTCATTCCTTACTTCTAGGAAAGAAACAAACATGAAGCAATGACAACTGTGACAATACGTAGAACATTACATAAACAAGCAAGTAACACTTAGGTAAAGAATTGATTCAAAAAGATAAAAATCAGTTATTCCAGGACGATAACGAAAAGATAAGGAAAGTCAATTTTTTAAAAATTGCGTGAAATTGTTCAGATTGATGATATTTTCAGTCATTTAAAAGGTGAATGTAAGGAGTGACAGACGTAAGATTCAGTTGATGGCGGACCGCGGTGCTAGCAACATAGTATGGTCCGGTCCGTTCGCGTGTGCTTTCGACAATGATTCGAAGACCTTATTTGGTGTACGTATAAACAAAACTGTGAAGTAGTCTATTCTTCATGTGTATTCTGTGTGTAGTTGCTACTCGAAAGAGTGACCACTAGCGTCAATATGCACTCACTGCACAACAAATAGAACATAACTTCGAACGCCCAACAGCAATATGGATTAAACTTGAAATCTTATCCTGAAGCTGTGACAATGAACATTTTCCCTTCAAGCGATCAAGCAAATTATTATAGAAGCCCACGAAGGACTGACAATAAAAGGTTATGTGATAAAAATATCAACTTTTATCAATACAAGTGATGCGTTACGCCCTGAGGAAGGTCGTAGAATAGCGACCGAAACGTCGTCACCTTTGCCATGGACGCGGCGTCACCATGGCACAGCCATGGACAGCCAATTAAACACTGACTCCGGCCGGGGAAGCCTACACTCTCACTTAATTCAAGTGATATTTGATTTGTGTCACGTATAGCGAATAATAGGATTTGTGTTCTTAAGTACCAAGAAAATTGAAAACTACCTGACAGTTAGCCATCAAACTTACACTATTAATGACACTGAAGTGAGTGTTAGATTTTTATTAAGCAAACATATGAGTTATAATATCCTATGTCTGTCTAGTTATCCCTAAGGAGGTGATGAAAAATGCTCTTCAGCAACTGAATATTCAAATTTCTTCTAAAATTTCATTTATCAGAGCAGTTCTATCTGAACCAGGTATGTCCCACATTATGAGCTTCAAAAGACAAGTCTTTGTACACCTAGATCAAGTACATAAATTACCGCAGTCACTTCTATTTCCATATGAAGGTATAACATATAGACTATTTTTCACAACTGATAATATTACCTGTTTCAAATGTAAAAATAAAGACCTTATTGCCAGCAAGTGTCTAATTAACAACATTAGCCTTTCACCAATTATAAATATAGCAACAGATAACAATAATGATAAGATTTAAATAGATATCCCCCCCAAAAAACAGGTGACAATGCATTGGAGACCACATGACATTGCTATGGAGTATACAAAGTTCCCTCTTATCAACAAAAGAAGCCTCCAATCTGAATCATCCTTTACACTGAGAATATATCAACTAGTGTTGTAAAATAAAAAGACATAGGCTGTAAACCCTCAAAGAATAAGAGAGCAAAAAATGCAAATGATGAACCTGCCTCTCAAGACAGCATTATCAACATTATAGCCAATGCTGCTAACTGAATAACACATACGCATCATAGCCTTTTAAAAATCAAAAGCGTTTTCTGATGGAATACTAAATGAAAAGTAGTCATTAGAAACTCTAAACAAGCATTTAACCGGTATAAAAAAGAAGATATAATGATAGTCGAACTAACGATTAGATAACTAGAGCTATTGCCCCGAGAACTGTAAAAATAATCAAAGATAGATAATTGACCTCATCAACAGCCAATCGAACTCAACTGAGAGTTAGAAAAAAATAAAATCCATAGGTGGTATTAAGAAGAACAATATTGTACATTCCCTGCGTTGCAATGACAAGATAATTAGCGACCCCAAAATTTTTGCCGAAGAATTAGACGAAACCCTCATGAAAAATTCTAGCACTTCTAATTACCATACGGAATTCATCACATATCAAGAAAAAGCTGGAAGTGAATCAAATATGACACCTATTGATGACATCAACTATGATAATGACGTGGATTCTCCAATTTTCGTACCTGAACTACAACTTTAGAAAAAGATTAATAACTCAGCTCCTGGCTCAGATAATATTCCAAACTGCATAATTAAAAATCTCCTAAAGAGTGGTACTGAAATTTTATTGAAAATATATTATACGGCTAGGTAATATATCTCGAAACTGTCATACATCAGGAAAACCCCATTAGCCGATGGTAGGTTGACGCCGGATCTCGCCACCCAGCGAGGGAAGACCGCCGCCACAACCCGACGAAGAACATGCACTACACTAGTGACTTAGTAGTTGGCGCACTCGGATCATTATTAATCAATCAATCATAAACGGAACGGAAAAAGTTCTAGTGTTGGGAAATCATTTATTGAATATTCATTCACTCTACACAGCAAGGAGGTATAATGGATGAAAACCGAGATATGCGTACTAATCAGACCTTACGAGTGCCAGCAGCTTCAAAGCCAGCCAGCACATTTCACGGCGCGGCGCTTCCGCGCCGCGCAGTGGTTGCGTGACGACCGCTGCAGGAGGGCGCGTGGCAAAGTGCGTCCGTATTGCCTCTCAGCAGGTGTGCGCCCGCGTCCGCGCGCTGCCGACGGGATGGCGGCGGAATTTGCCTGCGAGGCGGACGCCGATTCCGCGCGAGCGACAACAGCGCGACGGGAGGGCGCCGACGGGCTGGAACGCTGCGGCGGTTGCGAGCGCGCTGGGCGATGCGGTCGCGGCTGGGGAGAGGCCCGGTGGCCGGGGAGGGCGTGCCAGGTCGATGAGGATCCCCCTGACCCGGGTGGCTCAGGGCAATAACCGTTGAGTTTCTGACTGCGCGACCCAAGAGATCGGAGACCGTCGGGGACGAATTTTCGGCAGGAACTAGCTAGCTAAGAAGAATTCAGCCGCTGAGAATTCTAGCGCCTGACTGCTTTGATCAGTAGTTGTCCGTGGTTTGTTCTTAAAACACCAGGCGAATTCCAGGGCAAGACTCTGTCATACATGTCACACACCGTGAGAATTCTTTCCTCTTTCTTTCTTACTCTATCCTACACACATACCCACTTACATTCACTACCACGCATGTCAGGAGACCAGTCGGGCGTTTGAATCTTGTCCCGGCGTCGCCCTGCTGAGGCGATGTCCTTTTGAAGGAGATACCTGGAGGGAAAACACTGAAAAGCTAGGTGTAACTCGACGTCAGACTTCATATTGCAGGAAAGAGGAAAAACTCTATATCCCAGGATACAATCAAACGAAACTAGCATAGCATTGGATGTTTCCAGAAACAAAATAATCAATCAATCAGTAGGAGCGGTGCGATGGAAGCCAGTCGTGGCTGAGAGATGGGGACAGACATGCGACAATGTAACAGGTCCACAATACGTGACAGAGGTAGTGATAGTGAAAAAGCGATGGTGGGAGAGTATTTGAGTAACCAATACCTTTATTGGGATAGGTGAGGACAGAAATGTGTATTTATGTTGGAATCTACAGTAATCTCACTAGACCTGCTAACCGATAACCTCAAATGGTAATAATATAGATTTGGAGAAGAGTTGGGGGATTTCCTGGTGTGAAATAATAATAATAATAATAATAATAATAATAATAATAATAATAATAATAATAATAATAATAAGGTTGTGTAAATATGAAGGATCCGTAGAGTTGTGACTCGATAGAAAAAGTTGGTGAGAGAAGGTGATAGAATGCTGAGGAAGTAAAGAAGAGATCATGGTTGTAAGTCTATTGAGATGAACATTTTAAATATGTATTTGTGGAGGAATTTTGTGTTGGGAATTGCAGTTGTCAAGTTAAAAATGAATCAGTGAAGAGTAGTGAAGTTAAAATGCCAAAATACGAGAACGTAGAATTGAGAAGAGTTGATAACAAGCAAATGCGGCGTAATGTGAAGAGTATTGGTTGAGCTACTGGTAGAGAGTTGGGGGAAACCCTAAAGGGTGGAATGTCGAAATAAAATTGAATGTTGTAAATTTTATGGAGTAGAATTGAGGCGAAATTTCGTGGTGAGTAGTAGATATTTGATGGTTTGCGCAGGAGAGGAAGCGAGCGAAGGCAGACCAAGTTTTGGGAGCGGGAGGGGGCCTCTGCGTACACGGCGGATACCTGCGCCGTAATTACAGGATAACAGTGTTTATGCACGCACTGCTTTCCGTGCAGCCTCGATCGATGACCGTCGGCTCCCTAGGCCGCCCCCGCCGCCCCCGCCCCGCCCCCGCAGCCCCCCGCAGCCCCATCACCCCCGCCGACCCCGCCAGCCCCCAGCCCGCACGCCCCGTACGCCGACGCCGACGATGCCTTCCTCTGCCAGCCGGCTGAAATATGGAGGAGCAGTCGAAACACGTAACCCTGGGAGTCGAAGAGGATGCATGACCACTTAACGACCGGCCAGTTCTCTTGGCGTCCAATTGGTTTGTATTATTGATACTTTACCTCAGCGTTCGGGTATTTAAAATGTAATGCTCTTGATAAGAAGAGTATTTTTTAGACATGTTTTTGGTGTTAATTTAAAAACGGATCAGGTAAATGTTTAAATTTTCATCTGGAAACTTGAAGAAGGATATAAAAATGGTATTGGCGGTCAGAAAACATATTCTGTTAGGTTAATTATTGTTTGATTTGATAAGACAGCTTTACATTTGTTATCTTCTTTATTTTTTTCTCAAGAAGCGGTTCGTTTCTTTTCAAAATATATTTGTTGTATTTTATTAGTTGTTGTAATTCAATAGAATAAACCATAAACAAATGTCATTTGAAATAATTGTCTCATGACCTAATATTACATTTATTTACAAACGTGTCTTCTGACCACAGTCGTCTTCCTCGAAGCAACTCCATCTGCGCAGGTCATGTATTTGTATTCAGCTCCAAGTGCTGTCTTTACCCTGTATCTCATCGCGAAATGAAACTCCGCCGCCTGCCACAAATCAAAAGTGGGTCATGAGGTCCCGAGCAGCTGCAGGGTGGGGCGGGCACACGTTGCGCTCCGTAATGCGTCGTCGTTGCTACCGCGGTCACGCGTCGCGCGCCGCTGCGCCTGCCCGCCCGCCCCGCGCGCGCAGAGATCATCCGCCACGCCCACCCCTGCTCCCCGGGCTTTCTTAATTCCGTCTCTCGTAATTCTGGCCTCCTCTGTTCCTTCCTCCTCCGTTTTTTCCTCGTCAACTCTTCGGCGTCAACTCCTTCCGTGTCAACTTCCTCCTTGTCAACTCCCTCCCGTCAGCTCTTTCCTCGTCAACTCCATCCTCGTCAACTCCTTCCACTTCTATTGATTCTCCTTCTCACCTGCTTTCTTCTCAACGCGTTTCCTTCTCAACTCGTTTCCCCTCAACTTCTTCTTCCACAACAGCTTCCTCCTCAATCCTTTCTTTCTCTACCCCTTCATACCCAATACTTTCTGCTCCTTACAGCCTCAATACTAACTCTTTAGTTGATTTTTCTTCAACTCCTTTCTCAACAACTCGATCCTACTCAACTCCATCCACAACTCTGACTTCTTTAAGTCGTTCTTCTCAACTCCTTTTTCATCAACTCATTGCTGAATTGGTTTCTCATCAACTCTTCCTCACCTCCCTTCTTGCCTCCTTCTTTCTCACCTTCTTTGCCATTAAGCCCTTGTCCTTAATTCCCTACACATATCCTTCAGACTAACTCCTTTCTTCTTAACTCTTGCCACTAACTCACTTCAACTTCCAGCTCAATTTCTCCCTGTTCAAACACCCCCACTCTAAAAGCCTTTTTCTCAATGCCTATTTCTTTATTTCCTTCGCGTATCCTTCCTTCTTTCCTTCGTTCCTTTCTTTCTTCCTCCATCTTCTATTCCCGTGAACTACTTCCTCTCAAACCTTCCCGTTTCGGCTTGGTGCCTTTCAATCCTTATCACCATATTCACGCAGCTATCAACAAATCAATGCTAAAATATTAAAACTATACCTCTTATAAATCAACATTCAACACTCAATACCAAATGCCAGATTCTATTATATAAATCTAATATCCTACCCACACTAACTTATGCTTGCCCAGTGTGGGGAACGCTGCTTCCACCACCATACAAAAAAATGCAAATTGTCAAAATAAAGTCCTCAGAAAATCAATTAAAGCTCCATGGTTTATACCTAACCAACAAATTCACAGAGAACTCCAAATGAAACAGCGCTCGAACACATTAAAAAAGTAGCAAATAATTTCTATTCTTCCTTCTTTCATCTCATTCCGCCCTGAAATTTCACCTAGGTCGAACAGCAACACCCAAGCCGAATCAAATCCAAATTTCCAAAGACATGCTTAAACCTCCCTAAACCAATAATATCATCCCGTATCTAAATAAATCTTTCACGTTCCTTCCTATTGCTCGATAGGGCAATCCTAACAACCTACCCCCCCTCTCCCCCCAAAAAATCAAAAATAAATCCCAGCTGCTTCTACAAGCAAACCAACGAATTAAACGAGTCAGAGTATCTAATCTCAATTTGTCAGGAATGCCCAAATCCCAAAATGTCAGTATGTAAAACCGAAACCCCTCGAAAGACCTTTGGTCGAACGAGAAGAAATAAATTTAAAAAAAAATCCTTATCACTCGGTACTCTTCACTCGTATTTTGTCTTCCCGCACCGTTCACTTCTTTGTGTTCCCGCCCCATCATAAAAACTAAGTTTTGGAGATATAGAAAAATATATTAAAAATTATAGAAAGTGATAGAAGTAACATAAATATAGGTATATGTTGTATATAATAATTATGGACAATAAATAAGGGAAGGGAAATTGTTTTTAATAATTCAAGGTACAATTTTTATAAAAATTAATAAAGGAGGATGTATATACATAAATGGAAATGAATGAAAATAGAAACTGTAAGAGTATTTATACATAAATATTTACTGTATTTATATATAAATGAAAATAAACAAAATTAATTCAAATAAGGTAGGAATCCTAGAGATACTAAACATTTCTTGGATTAAATACATGAAAAGCACGATATATATTCCATGCATGAACAGAAAAAGGTAACAACTAAATTCGAAAAGGAAAGGCGAATTAGATGCAGAAAGAGGAACAACAGAAATAGAATTATTTTGCTAACATTGCTTCACAATGCATGAAGATCACGAAACAACTTTACCTGACTAAATTGAAATATCTGACTATAAAAAATGAAAGAAAGAAAGTTTGGAAGATAACTGGGACAAACCTGACGGTATGCGAAAGAGCCCAGACTAAAATTGGCTGAAAGATGCCATGGGACACGAGCGCTCGGCAACGCACTGAACCGAAGAGCAAGCCGGCGACTGCCAGCCACTGGCAGGCGTATCGACCTGCAGTTGACCTGAACGAGACACGCATGCCACTCCCCTCCCTTGTCTCCTCCCTCTCCGACTCTTTCGTGCCGACCATCTTCTCCCCACATCCTCTCCCTTCTGTCACTCCTCCCTCCCATCCTTTTTCTCTCTCCTTTCTCTCTTCTCTTCTATTTACTGGTCTCCTCCTTTCCTCCCCTTCTCTTCTCCTCACCTCCTCTTCTCTTCTCTTCCACTTCTCCCTTCTGCTCATCTCATTAGTTTGCTCACCCCCTCCCAACTCTTTCCACAAAATATATCCTCTCTCCCGATCACCGCCGACCCCGATATATTTAAAGTAGTAGTTGAATTGGAGTATCGTGAGTGTAATGCAATAGAAAAGTGATGTGCAAGTGTCGTGAAGTGAAGTGAAGTGTCATGAAGTGAAGTGATTTGAAGTGCAGTGTAGTTAAAAAGGGAATTTATTAGTTAAAATACCTGTGTAGGACAGTAATAAAATGTAGAGCTAATGCTGTTATTGTTATTGTTGTTTTTTATTTTATCATATTATGATTATTATTATTGTCTTAAAATGATTTGAAATAAATTGTATCAATATCATTATTGTGATATGTTAATTATAGTGTTCTGCTACCAGATGGTATGAACCTACGTGCAAAAATAATAAATCTATCTATCTATCTATCACGGGCTCCTCCCTCGCGCCATGACACCCCCGCTGTCTTGAGGTTAGTTGTACACACGGCTGCCTTGTGGTCACATGGAATGGTGAACATTGTTTGCGTGGCGCGACGAGTGGCGTGGCGAGTGGCGGGGAGAATGGCGGGACGCGTGGCGGGGCATGTTCTGGGAATCTAGGCGGAGCCGGAGCAGGCAAAAAGAGGATGCTGTGAAGAACGCGGGGCTGAGCGCGGAGTGTGGCGGGGAGCTTGGCGAGGAACTGGACGGGGAACTGTACGGAGAACTGGGCGGGGCAGGGCATTGAGCAGAATGCAGAGCTGAGCGCGGGGCGCGAGCTGGGCAAGGGACTAGAGGCTCGGGCGGGAGCGTGGCGGGCTTCCTCTCCCGATGAACGGTGTCCGTAAACAGCGGGCAACGGGAAAGCGCGCGTTTGCAAATAAAGTCGATTGATT